CTCAAGAAAACTCTGAAACATCGAGTGTATCCACTGAGCTGTTGATCATAGTCATCATGGTCCCCATATTAGTCCTCCTGATCCTAATCATAGCCGTCATAATCTTAATCAGGTGCATACCGTCCGTGAGAACAAAAACACCCCCTACCCCAATTGCCCCCCTCGTTAACGAAATTGAGGACTACGCCAGCATAAAACTCTCCCCAACTGACACGCCCACTACACTTGCCCCTCCACTGCCACGTAGCCCCTGTCCTCAAAAACAAAACCAGAGCTTTCCCATGAACTTGGAGGCTAATAATCACACAGACTGTGGAGGGGAAGACCCTACTTATCATGTTCTTGAGGGACCACCTGCCACGACACAAGGAAGCGACGGAAATCCTTACAGCCTCGATCCAATCGACAGCACTGAAATCTTTGGTGAACCTCGTATCGACTATACTCGTGAAGATGGACATCAATTGCCATCAGGTGCAGTGGGGGGTTTTGCTATTGGAGGGCAGGAGAGGGTGTATTTTGAACTTGAGGGTCCGGGAAACTCGTCGCTCATCAAGAATCGCGCGATGAATGCACGTAATCCAACCTATGAGTCGGTGAAGAGCACATACTGGAACGAGGGGTTAGGCCCCGACCAACCAAAACTGCACGCTCTCATAGCGTCTTCAGAGGACCAACCTCGAGTTAGCTCTCACTCTGAGGCTGTAGTGAATGAGTCTAGCATGGCCGGTGGTCCCACATCTACCAGTGAAACAGTCTAACTAACAAGTTCAAGCGAATGACCAAGCAGTCAATTTATTTTAGCCGGACAATCCGTTTGCGTCATCTCAGTTTCAATTTTTTTATGTCACACTGCTTCTTCATAAAAGAATAATAGACGCTAAGTGTTTTGAACTCGTATCTAACTGTAATAGCTACAGTATTATAATATGTCTACTTTGCTACGTTTGCCTGCACTGCTGTGTTGAGGCTGTCAATGGCAGCCTGGATGTTTTCAATGTCAGCCTCCAGGGTCTCCATGTCACTGTCTGTGGCACTCATCCTTTCATCTTTATCCAACTGCAATGTAATTGGCAGTATAACAGTAGTATAGAGTGTGTGAAAATTCATCAATGGGGTTAGTGTATATAGCTAAATGCCAACCAGTTGATATTGTTCATTGTGAAATGCACCGTTGTTTTGCCCGACAATGGATGTGAAACAGACCCTATACTTGGTGTATATGTACGTACACACAAGGAATGGGAAATGA